AGTTGAAGAAGGAAAGAAAGTGAGAGATCTTTTTTATTTTATTTGTTTGTTTGTTTGTGTGTTGTTAGGTTGGTATATTGGATATTGATTTATGTGGTCCTAGTATACCTCACATGTTTTCATTAACTGGTAGGGATGTACATCAAGGGACTGATGGGTAAGCCCCTATCATTAATTATTAATTATTAGTACTATCAGTCTATGGTCTGTGGCCATAAATCAAAAAATTGAAGTCGGAATCAGCTCAAACTTGCTACACAGCATAAGGACATCAATATGTATCAGAAAATGTAATAAAAATTTGGGGTGATTTTGGAGCCATTTTTTGGAAAAAACCATGGGCTATAGCCTTGGGTATTTTTCAGATTTTTGGAGTTTTCTTAAAATGGCCGTAACTTGAAAAATTGAAGTCGGAATCAGCTCAAACTCACTACACAGCATAAGGATATCAATATGTATCAAAAAATGTAATAAAAAATTGGGGTGATTTTGGAGCCATTTTTATGAAGAACCATGGGCTATATAGCCTTGGGTATTTTTTAGAATTGCCATTACTTAGTTGAAAAATTTTCATATACATGTAGCATAAGGACATCAACAATTATTTTATTTATTTATTTATTTATTTATTTATTTATTATTATTAGTTGGATTCCAGTATATGTTGATGATACTCAAAGTCTTTGTGTGATGTCAATTGATTTTTTATTAAAATAATAATAAAGATGAAGCTGTTGTATGGAGAGGACCCAAGAAGAATGGTACATGAACATATTTTCTCATTATACAAAACTTTACCCTCAATTGTTATCTCCCCCCCCCTCTCTCTTTCTCCCTCTCCCTCCCTCCCCCCCTCTCTCTCTTCCTCTCTCTCTTTCTCTCCTAGCTATGATTAAGCAGTTCTTGTCTGATGTAGTTTGGGGTCAGTTGGATTATCTTATTATTGATACTCCACCAGGTCAGTGTATCATCCATTACCTCCAATATCTCATTCATTATATTATACATGTACATGTACATATACTGTATAACCTCTCTCCATACTCCTATCCCTCCTGATTCACATTAATGTCTTTACTTTTATCTCTCTCCCTCTCTCTCTCCCTCCCTCTCTCTCTCTTTCTCCAGGTACAAGTGATGAACATATTTCAGTTGTTGAGAATATTAAGTCAATATCACCAGATGGGGCAGTACTAGTAACCACACCACAAGTATGTACATGTACCATATTTTCCTCATTAGAAGCACATAATTAATATTAGCCTGTGTGAAGCACAGTCTTGTGACCTAGGCAACACAGGTTCAATCCTTCCTTTGGCAGATTTTTTACGCAATTTTTTCTGTTAATGAATAAACACCCAGGCTTCTAATCAGGCAAATATGGTACATGTATTATTATTATTATTATTATTATTATTGTCGTTGTTGTTGTTGTTGTTGTTGTTATTGTTATTATTGTTGTTGTTGTTGTTTTTAGGGTGTATCATTATCAGATGTGAGGAGAGAGGTGTCATTTTGTAAAAAGATATTATTACCAGTTATTGGTATTATAGAGAACATGAGTGGGTTTGTGTGTCCACACTGTTCAGTGAGTATAAAGACATATACAATGTACATGTACACACCATCACCTCTTCCTCCTCCTCCTCCTCTTTTTATCTTTATATATGTACATGTACTTATGTCCTTCTCTTTTAATAATGTTCTCTCTCTCTCTCTCTCCCTCTCTCTCTCTCTCCTCTCATTAGGAATGTACTAATGTATTTTCCACTGGAGGAGGTGAAGAATTAGCTAAACAATGTCAAGTCCCTTTCCTAGGTACTGGTTCATTATAATGGAGACACTCCAGTACATGTACACATGGCACTACCTTATAAGGGAGGGTATATTAGGAAATGTTCATGTCACTTAAGTTAATGAATTTCTGGTAATACAACATACATTGTATTACATGTACATGTTAATTAAAAGAGTTAAAATGTGCACCTTTAAAATAAAAGTTACCCACTCATCATTAAATACTTATTATTATTATTATTATTATTATTATTTTATTTATTTATTATTTAGGATGTATACCAATTGATCCATTGCTGGTTCATGATGTTGATAAAGGGTTAAAAACTCATGAATATTCATTAACCACCAGACAATCAATAAGTGACATTATTAATAAATTATTAATTAATTAATTTTATTAATTAACTTTATATTGTCACTAATCATATACCAGTTAATTTTGGACGCCAGCCTGGGAATAAATTTTGACAAATTTTCCATTTTGATAGCCATTTGTCAAATTAATTAAAACACACCATTTTGTACCATTACGTACATGCTCAATGGCACATGGACACTAATTTGCCAAATTAAAACTCACCAGTT